CCCCAAAACCCCAAAACCCCAAAACCCCAAAACCCCTTATTAAAATTCAAATTGAATTTTGCTAAAATATAATATAATGAGCTCTGAAAATGTCAGTGACCAACAATTCCAAAATAGCTCGATGAACGCGTTTGGAGGACAGTTTGCTCTCCGGACTTCCAAAGCTAAACAAAAATCCAAATACAACAGGCTTAATAAAACAGGGTTGACTTGGCCCTGGCACAAATTTCAGATAATCTCATACATTTTCTACATCTTAAACATTGTATTATTTTATACAGTTGTGATCCCTTCATTTGATAGTGAAATAAAGGTAACTTGCCTTATCATCTCATGTACAGATTACATTTGGAGTGATATACTTTTTACTGGTAGCCCTGACTTGCATCATGAGCATCCTGGCAACTGTGACTAACCCTACAGATCCTACCGTGCTTAAAGAAATCCATTTGCAGCTGAATAATCAGAGTTTGATCCCTGAAAATGACCATAACTTCTGATATTTCTGCGAAGCACACTGTTCGTTTCACAGCAAGCATTGTTCGCAATGAAACAGATGAATTTATAAATTCGACCATCACTGAGTCTGGCTTAACAATTGCATTGGAGAAAGAAACTACAAGTGGTTCTTCCTAGCAATAATCTTACTGTCACTCCAGATGGGCGTGCAGAGTCTGATAAATATCCTATCCCTGATCACGTACAGCATGAATAAAGAAAACTACCTTATTCAGCCATCAGAGATCATGCTTGCTTTGCAGTGAATTTTATTAATTTTTGGGATAATTTGAGGAAGCTTAACTAGCCAATTATCCATTTTCCACATCTGGCTCTGCTACAACAATCTATCAACGTTTGAGCTCATAAAACTCCACAGAGAGTTTGATGAGGAAGATGCCAAAAATGACGCAGAGCAGGGCAAAAAGACAGGTGGAACCACTCAGCAACAAATCGGATCAGCTTTCACACCTAATGTGGAAGAACTAGCCCATAACAACCATAAAAGCTCGATAAATAAATAACATCATCAGCGATGAGCACCCAAGAGATCAGATTGAGAGGTCTTCTCACAAAAATCTCAAACGCAAAGGGCTCAATATGTCAAGTGACCACTTCATGAACATAAATTCTCTCAAATAGCAACGGATCTAAAGACCAAATTATTCAAAATAAATCAAAGCCGGTACCTAAACTTACAAAATGCGACAAATTCATGAAGGAAAATTTTATTTGATGATGCTTTTGATTCATCCAAAAAGGATTCCTTAAGAAACGCAACTATAATGCCATTAAGCAAGATGAAAAGTCACAAAAGAAGGAGCACTTTGAACCAAAGCGGCCTCAAGACTTCTCTGATTTGGTAGCGAACAATATTAAGGAGAATAGTGATAACCCAGATAGTAATGAGAACAGTGGATTATTCCATCTTCATGGCCTTAGTAATCTCCGTAATTTTGAGAATATTGAAGAAGCTAATGAAGAAAGCTCAAGTACCCCTTCGAATAAATAGCAACAAACGACAAGCGCATACTAGTCTAATGGAGAAATTCAGAGATCCAAAGTCCTCGGCTAGCTCAGAAGATTTCAAGAGCGAGGTTGTCCAAATTCCTAAAATAATCCGTGACCCGAACGACAAGATTATTCAGCAAGTTATAGATACTAAGTTTCTTAGTAATACAGATGGGATGAGTCATATTAACCACGACTCTGAACTGATTGACCAAAATTTTAACAACTCCCATGCTATTATCAGAAGAGAAGCAGAAATCAGAGTAATTCGTTCTGATGTAAGTGGAGATACCTCAAACCGTCATCTAAATAACAGCACTTTTTCTCCAAAGCCACCTCTGATCGGTAAGAGTACTCGGTCAAGGAACCTTCAGAATACGATAAAGGCATCCCTTGGCTCTAATGACTCTCGAAAAATGAACATTAATAAAAATTTTGGTGAAATGAAATCGACAGTTGATAAAACTATCAACCAAACTATGATCAAAAGGAAATCTAAAGGAAAACTTAACACAATAGAGCAGAGCACTATGGAGAAGGGACCTGAACATGAGGAGCTTTCTGATTTTGAAACATTTAGAAACCTCGACTCTTCAGATGTCGGAAGTGCTTTCAAAACTGGTGGTCTGAACAAAAGGCTTTCAAAACCACATCATAATTGACAAGAAGAAAGCAAATTTCAAGAAGAGTCTAAAATCGACCAAATCCCAAAGGCAAAAATTATGGGGTTCTTTGAAACTAACCAGAGCATGAGCAGGAACAACGGGCTAAAAAATGTCAGATCGGATTCGGTAAAACTAGGTAAGCTCCTATTGTAATTTTCTAGAGTCCAAAGCAGAGTCTTCCTTTGCTCATACTATAATACAGCCGATCTTAGAGAACGAAGGTGAGGCTTCGTACTCGCCTGAATTTGAGTATGTTAAGACTCAGAAAAATAAGAGTGAGAGCACAGAGCCTAATATACTCCAATTTACTGATACACAGCAATCAAAGCAAGTCCGAACAGCTGGTGAAGAAAGCCTAAACATCTCTGATGCCCGGAGAATCACCACTAAAGTAAAGAAAAAGCATAAATTAAGGGAGAATTTCCTCAAAAGCACTGAAAGAAGGTACGGCAACCCTCTGACATGTAGAGATGATAGCTTGAGTCCAAAGTCTAGAGACCTGTACCAAACCCCTTTCCAATTAAATGAGATGGATTTCCGTCAGGATGCTTCCAAAAAGAAGGAAACTGAGGGTAACTTTTTCTTATTTATACTTATAGATGGAGATAAGATCTCAGATGTTGCTAAGACTTTCCGAAATCTACGAAACCAGCTTATGAACCAGAACAGGAGCAGGGCTAAGCTAGACCTGAATAAAATAAAATCTCAAAAGACAGAATCTGACGCTAAACTACAAAACCCTCTTGCTAAATCTCGCAATGTGGCTAATACCAAAATAAACAGTCAAGAGCTTAGGTCTTCAATAAAAACTACAAAAGTATTCACTAAAAAAAATCGGAAACGTTCGTTACCTGAAGATGATGAAGTGAACTCCGCCACAACACTCTATGTAGAGGCAGTTTCTAACAACATGGCGAGGACAAATGGAACTGAGGAGGAGGAAAAGAGGCCTAAAAATAGTAAATTCCAAAACCTCTCCCAAAGGAGTGAGGCTGTGTCTAATGATTCCTTAACCCTGGACAAGGATTCATCAAGGTCTGCCCTCACACGGCCCAAGCGGAAGACAAATAAGAAGTCCAGAAAGTTGAAGAAAGCCAAGAAGAGAGTAGAGAAAGCTCCACGTCCTGACTACATTTTCTGTGAGAATGACGAGGTCCTAAACCAGGAGGAGGATTTCTCCTTACTCACAGATAGCAAGGTAAGATATTTGTTATTCAGACTCTAGGTTCAGGATCCAAAGAACATGTATTCCTACTTCAGACACAACCTTAGTAAAGTAGAAGAGGAGGAAGCAGATGAAACACTTTTTGAAATTCACAATTAAATTTATTTTCTCAATTTAAACTAAATTTATTGGGGTTTTGGGGTTTTGGGGTTTTGGGGTTTTGGGG